GCAATGGTATGATGGCATGATGCTATGATGAAGCACACCACAATTATTCACACAGGCAAACATGATAAGGCACACAAGTCATACAAGACACCCTTAGGTTTCAGGCCAGCATGAATTTCAGGTATTACCCTCTTTTGGTTTTGTTGGTTAAAACATGTCTTATCAAAAGTAACCGGGTTCTAGGGGATCTCAAATCATTGGCTACCCTCAATCGGTCATAACTCCAGCATCGCAATCTTTTCTCGCGGCCAGAATCATCTCGAGAGTTTAGCCTCAATGAGTGTAGCATACTGCTACTGTCCTAATAGCCAAGTTGGTCAATTTAGGGTTCTAAGGTTGGTTGGTGCTTAATGACTCCTTAGAAGACCTATATTCTCCCCGTTGCAACACAAGGGATATAGGTACAGACTAAGATGCCACACCAACGTAGCCACTGCTTCACCCATGTCGGTCTACGCCGGACAGGTCCCTCACAGATTATGCTACCTAAAAAGGGTATTTCCCAGATCCGGGTTAGGATCTATGAAACTCCGATGCAAAGCCCACAAATATAAAAGCAAACAAAGCAAACAATTGAAAACAAAGGTGATCTAAGCCCTAAGGTTACTCCACTTTAAAAATCAATCCCCAGCAGAGTCGCCAGTTCTGTGATACGGTGGGAGAACTGACTTGAGGTTTTGCGTTTGTTTTCGCAAATGTTTCGGTTGAGCAAGAGTCGCCACCGACTTTTTATTTTATCCTAAGGAAAGGTTTAAAAAGCACAGCAAAAACCTTTGAGATTTTTCTTGGGTTCGGGGAGTAGATTATAGAAAGGGAAGGTATTAGCACCCTTTCTATCCATGGTTATCCATGGGCTCTTAGTTACTTGCTTAGATCACTTGCCTTTTGTTTTCAATTGTTTTAAATGGTGCTTGTGTGTGTGTGGGTTTGAAAATGTTTTAAAAAAGAAGCCAATGTGGTGGCAACCTTTGTAATGATCCATGTGGGGATGTATACAAAGGTGTATATCTTTTGAAAAAGGTTTTCATTTGTTTTTGAAAGTTGTTTTGAAAGTGTAGTGATATGTGGTTTTTTGAAATAGGCAAGTGTTTTAGTTTGCAAGATTGATTCAAGTAACTAAGAGGTTATCTACTCCTAAATTTCTCAAAAGATTATTGCTATGTTTTAACCCTTTTAATAAGTTTGTTCCACCATTGTATTTGGTGGACAATCTTATGTTAGGATGTGAAAGGGACGGGCACGGGTCATCGTTTAGACCATAATTGCAATGGTGCCAAGTATCTTTGGGCATTTTCTTTAAGGGACTTGATCATTTGTTTTTGGAAGTATTTTGAAAATGTTATCGAGGGACTATGATCATTAGGTTCGTTTATTTTGCCCAAAGAGACTTAACATGCAATATGGCCCAATTTTGAAAGGCAACAAGTGGATTACCCTAGGGGGTGCAAGTGTGATTTGTGTGTTCATTTTCATGCTTGTTTGTCTTGAGATTAGGTCATAACTATTGGTTGTTTTTAGCATACAAACCCTAATTCTAACATGGTATAATTAGAAAGCAATAAAGTGCGAAAATAAATTTACTAGATATTACAAAACCAAATATGGGAAGGGGGGTACAAATGTTCAAATGGGGGTATGGACAAGTAATTTAAACCTAAAACTATCACATCAATATTGAATTTATACAATTTAATTAATGTACAATAATTAAATAAAAAAATGGAATAAAATATGCAAGGTGCAAAAATATTTTGTATATGTATGAAAAAAAGTATTATTTATAAAAATAAAAGATAATAAAAAGATATTAGTTTTGGAGTTTTTTTCATATTTAGGGCAAAACCCTAATTCTATTAAATAAAATGTATTATTATTTAATTTAATACAAGTATTTATTTATTATGTACAAAAATAAAAATAAAATGAAGTATATTATAAAAAAAGTATTTTTTATATCAAATATTAATAAAATGAAAAATACAAATATTTTTATATTCTAACCTAAATATATTAATAAATATATATATATATAGGTATTAAGTTCTAAATATGTATTATATATAAGAATAATAATATTTATTATTTAAATAAAAAAAGTATTTTTTTCTATAAAAATATTTTCAGAAAGTAAAACAAAAATAAAAATGTATAGAAATGTATTGGCACTATTTGTTTTAGTATTTTAAATAAAATATGTATATTTATCTATTTATGTATAACTAAAGAAAAATTAAATAAAAGCCTAATAAAATAAAAAATGGTGAGAAAAAATATTTTTATATTTTTAATGTCATGATAAAAAATAAACAAAGTCAATCAAAAAAGAAAAAGTCAAAAAGTCAAAGAAATAAGCAAATGGGCCTTGGGGGTGTAAAAGCAATTAGCATGGTGTGAATAAGAAAAATACACAGGCCCAGCCCAAAAGACCACTGTCTTCAACCTCCAGCCTTCTGTTTGAACAAAACGCGCGCCACTTTCCTCCATTGCTAAGTCCTGATTCTTGGCTTTTTAACAAAAACTCATAACATAAAAAATGTTCAGCATGAAGAGACGATTCTAACCATATGCATAACTTGATCTAACTCTCTAAGATGAGGGAGAATTTCTCCTCCCCCAAATCCTAACCTAGTTTTTCTGCCATTTTCAAACTCCAAATTCTCACAACTCAAGCAAAAGAAATGAAAAGTAAAAACATGTACATGTTCAGTGGCATGAGTAGAACCTTGTTTCTTCACAAACTTAAAGCTAATGATGCCTAATAAGAGAGATACGAATTCAAAAACTTACATGTTCAGTTGAAGTTCTATCTGGAGATGTAGGAACTTTCAGTGCAAGGTGATGATTGGAGAAGCTTCCTTGAGGTCCAGGGATGCTATTCCAATGTTTACTTTGTCTTAAAAGCTTCTGAATCGAGCTAGAGAACTTCACCTGCAAGTCAGAAATGTGAAAATGGTGGAAGTGGTTAGAGTGATTACAGGTCGTGCTTTTGCTTTTGGTTAGCTTGCATAGATGGTATAGAAGGTGTGTGAACTGGTTTTGGTAAGAATGCTTGAGAGAAATAGAAGTTGGCACTCAAACTGCAGAGGCAACTCTGTTTTTGCAGTTTGATGGTGTTTTTTGGTTTGATGATGTTTGGGAGGCAAATGGCTCGTGCAATAGCTTGGTTATGATGTGTGTAATGTGTTTGATAACTTTGTTCTTGTGTTTGTAAGCTGGTTTCTGAGTTGGTACCAGTTATACCACATTTCTTGAACTTGAAGCAAACAAAGCCACTTGATCCTTCTAGCCTGTACAGGCCCTCACACTATGCTGCATCTTTTTTCTTGATCAGTGTGTTATGTCCATGAATCCCGTGTCCAAAGATATGCATTGTACTATTTGATTTTCAATCTTGACATAAAGTTCTTCTTTTCAAAAATGGATAAACCACTTTTTCCAATTAAGGCTTAATTCCTTGTGTAATGACTATATGAACAAAACAAAGATAAAACACAATGGGTTGGCATTTAATTATTGAGTGTAACTTGGTTTAAGGACCTGTAATCAAGGGCATGCTGGTTTTGAGAAGTTTGCATAACTTATGAACATGAAAAATGGCCAATTCAAAAGTGAGTTTTTGCTATATTGTGAAATTCGATTCTCCCTAACCATGAGGTTGTTTGAGAAGTTCTTGGACATTTTGGAAAGCTTGGAATGTGTAATACAATCCATCTTTGAAGTGCAATTTGAAATTCCAAGTGGAAGTTCATGGAAAATGGCCTTGAAGTGGGGTAGAAAAACTTGTCAAAATAGGTCAAAAATTCACTAAGTTAAGAATGGTTTAGTGCCCTTATTCAAAAATTTGGCTTCAACTTTCATGTTTTGACTTTTGTTTGAATCCAAATGAATCATGGTGAAAAAGTGGGGCAAAGTTGGGAAAAAATTAGGGTTTTCCATAACTTAGAAAAATTCTAAGTTATAAAAAATTCCATTTTAAACCCTAATTTGCATTTCTTGGTTTCTTGGTGAACAAGTTTCATGATTTGGCATGTTTTGATGAAAAATGAATCTTGACTCTTGATTTTGACCAAAAAGTCAAAGTTTGACTTTTCAGTGTACAGTCAAAATTGACCAATTGACTGGGAAATTCAACTGTCAATCTTGTGTACTTGGGATCTTTTGAGCTTGATGAATGTGTCAAGACCATTTCATGGGGTCCTTGAGTCCATATGTGAGCTTGGTTTGCCATTGACTAGGTCAAACAGTCAAAAATTGCCTTTGTGCAGTCAAAACCCTAAAAATGACCATTTTGCCCTTTTGGTGATCTGATCAAATTTCTTGTGGAATTGTGATCCAAACTTGATCAAATGGTCCATATGAGTTCATAATGTTGATGTGGGTCAATTTTCATGAGATTTGACTGTCAATTGGCCACAGTTGACTTTTTCCCCAATACAGCTGATTTCTAGGTCATCTGTCCAATTGACTGGGCAAAACTTGGGATCAAGACTTGAAACTTGGTATGGGTAAACTTGGGAGTCCAATATGAAGCATGAAAGTCATCTTAGGCATTTTAGGTCAAAACATCTTTGTTCAAACACAAACCCTAATTTGAGTCCACAGTGCAAGGAGAAGTCTTGAGCAGAGGAAACCCTAACTGAATCTTGATCTTCAAGGTTTATGAGAAAATGTTGAGGAAATGGGAGGGAAAATTTTGGGGTACAACAGCAGACAATACTATGAACTCTTGCTCGAGAAATTTTTATCATGTTCCAAGTATGATTAATAATTTTATGACTTGGTAGTCGTGATTCGTGAAAAATAATAATAAAAAAACACCTCTTTATGCATATAAGTACACCTCTTCATAAGAAAATATCTAATGATCTTGCAGTGTCCGAGTAACCTGTATTCTGTAGGAAGTAGTAAATTAACAATTGTATATACAAAAAAGGCAAATGATTCACAGGGTCAAAACCTCATTGCTAAGGATTTAAAGCACTTTATTGCAGTTCTTGTTTCTATTGCCTCAATATTGGCTTCAATGACATAGGTTGATACATTATCCCAACCCGAGGAGGAGAATGTGAAATAACACCAGTAGTTGTGTAGTAGAAAGGAGTATATCCCCCAGGGACAATGGCAGTCGATGGCCTAGCTAGTCCTACAAATTGCTGTGAGCAGTGGAGCTGCAATTGTGCCTGTCTGGCCTCTTTCTTCTGAGCAAGAGCAACATATAGGGGTTTACCATGGAACATAAATCCTGTAGATAAAACCGTGTAAGATGTAAATCTCATTTACATAACAGTATTATAACCCTTCATGTAAAAAATATTTAAAGAGGAAGATATGAAAATTTGCAAGATCGTCAGGTTGTAGTAAATATATATGTATCAGTGTCCAATGTTTTAGACATTAGAGGTATAGGTGACATCAAGAAATCCAGGGAGCCAAAATAAGGAAATATAATATTTTTAAGATATTTGATATAGACTTACTAAACTGAATAAAAGTAAAAGCTGAAAGGGTTTCAAAAGTGAAACTTGTTAAAATTAACACCTGCAGCATTAGTTGCCTCGTGAACTACTCTGTGAATTTCACCAGTTGTCACGTCAGGCTGAATAATCCAAGCAACAACATCCAATGCCTCTCTTCCAATCTATGAATCAATCTGTGAAATGAGAGTCTAAAAATGAATAAAATTTATCATATAATGCAGTAAAATTACAATAGAAATTGGCCAAACATTACAACAGAAATAATGCATACTTTCGTGCACAAAATAAAGTTCATAGAGCGGGTAAGTATGCTTTACCTCATCAATTAACTAATAATCAATGTTGTCAAACAATGACTATAGACGTACTATAACATAGCAGAATTTTAAAAAATCACTAATGTTCCACAATACACTAACAAACCCAATTCATTTAGCTAACCCGAGCAATCATGTATTACATGATCTCTCAAGCCATTCCAAAATGCAGTTGAGCACCGACAGGAAACTCCAACGATCTATACACAGTACCTGCATTCAAACATGAGATGATATATAAATAAAATTTCAATTTGTTATAGAAGGAAAGATAATACCAAAAGAAAGAATATAGTTTGTTAGTTTAATTGACCTGGAAGTTGACCATTAAATGAAATAGTCTTAGAACCACTTGCATCTGCACCACCCGATGCATCAGTGTCAAGTTATGAACCCCAAACTGAACATGATCTACATACTGAAATAGAACGTCAAGTATCAGATGATGTAGCATATTATCAGAGCCAACATCCTTCAGATATCAGTGCTGAAACTGAAACTGCAGATGAAAGTTCTCAAGCGGAAGTGGAAAATGGGAATAAAAAACTCGACAAAAGATGAAAACCTCAAGTCTATTGTGAGCATTGAAATGAAAGACAACTTTGAAAACATCATTCATCTGCAAGTCAAAATAAATTAACCAAATGTCAATAAAAAAGTCAAAATTCATTGTTAATACATGTGTGTAAGCATGTGTATAAGAAAATCATTGTTAACCAAATAATTGTAGAAAGTTGAAACACTCTATAGAAAAAGGCTCAATGAAACCTTTGGTATAGATAAGAATGCAAAGATATTTAGTAGTAGAAACCAAACCTTGAAAATAGAAAGAATCCAAAATCATGTATTCTTTTATTTCCCGAACAAGATAGTCCTTCACAAATGCTTCCACCATCACCGTCAGATTCTCTGTCACCAATACCTTCCATTCAACATCATCAATTAAACCTCCACTTCAACAATCACTAAGCATACCAAATTTCCAGTTAGTCCTCTTCATTATGAAAGTCAATTTAAGGAATGCCAACAAACAACTTTTCCATTGCTTTTGCATACAAAACCAACTTCATTGAAGGAAAAGACTGAAAAGAACCAACTTCATTAGTGTGAAATATCAGCATCATATTTGATTTTTCAAATGTCAAAAATAAATATTTAGCTGAGTATGCAATGTTACAGGAAAAATTTACAGGCTTAGAATCACGGCCAAGCTGAATACTCATTTTTAAACCTAACGATGGAGACGCAACGATTTCTGAGTATTTTCGTGGACGATTTCGAAGGATATTGTGGTTGCGGCTTGTGAAGATTATTCTCAACATCCATTTTCAATTTCTCTGGTAACCATGAAAATAGTCAAAACCCTAGAAATTTGAAGAAATTCATCAATGTGAAAAATAAAAGCAAATGAAAAATCAACGGAAGACATCCCAAATGAAAATAAACTGAAACAAAATTGATTCACAGCAAACAAAAAGCCTTGCACATACAACACAAATTTTTTTTTAGGGGTTGAGATATGGGGCAGAAAAGAAAGGAAAACCTCAATTTGGTTCTTGATTTGTGAAACTCTCTTGGTAATAGCTTCCTGGGTACTTCCATCAATAATGATCGTGGTTGTATCTTTGGTTAGAACCACCTTGGCAGTAGTGCCCAGAAGCTCATTCGTAAGGATTATGAAATACCCGCAAATGAATGATGGAATGATTTGACTGAATTACCAAATACTTCAAATACGTAAAAATGTGAAGTGATAATGGTAAGTGGAAGCTGAATTTCTTACCAATTTGTGTACGATGAAGTTGGGAGTGGAAGAGAAACAATAATGAGTTCAAAGTCACCTAATGTTGTTGTAATTTATATGTTAATGGGTAACATTGGAAAGAGAAATGACTTTTCATTGCCCAAGGGTTTAAAGTTGATTACCAACTCCTTATGAAATGTACGTTAACCAAAAGTAATGCAGTAGGTGTAAGGTTTTTTCAAGTGTATTATTTGAATGGGATTAAAATTAAAACAAATTAAAAATGTAAAAAAAAAATTGTGTTGACACATCAACAATATTTAATTCTAAATGAATATAGTCGAAGCAATGTAACAAAAAGTCAAATATATCCCTGGAATCAGAAAAGTTAAGACATTTAATCAAGGTTTATACTTGATATTTCCATGTAATGTTGTTTTTGTAGATTTATAATAGACTTACAGAATATTGTTTTACTCATAAAAACATGTCTCTAATTTTGGGTTCCTTGGAATATGGACACTTCATGATAAATGTCAAGATTCCATTGCCAAATGTTAGTCTGCCCCTATCATAGGCTGCCCCATGTAAATTCTATCTAAAAAGTTAAAGATGCTTAAGTCCAACCTCAAGACTTTGAATCGGGAGGTTTTTGGTAACATTTGCAACATTGTCAAAGCTTGTACTGAGAGATTAGCCAACATTCAAAACTATCTCATTGTGGATGGAAACAATGTGAACCTTAGAGATTAAGAAACAGTGGCTCAACAAGAGATTGATCAAGCCCTTGTTAATGAAGATATGTTCATGTTATAAAAGTCAAGGGTCAAATGGCACTTGGAGGAGGATATGAATACTGCATTTTCCCATAGAATAACTAAGATCAGAAATTCAAAAAATAATATCACTTTTTTAGAAGCAGCGATGATCTTATAAGTGACCATGAGGAAATGGGTAATCACACAGTCTCATATTTAACTAACATTTTGTGTTTTATAGGTGAAACTCAAGACCTTTCTATAGGGTCTGAAGTGATCGTTTCTATACCGTACTCCAACATGATCCTATTCCTTACTAGGATCCTGTGATCGGTGGATCTGGAACTGACTGTTTAACGCTGGTTCGCGAAATGTCGCGGAAGCAAGAGTCGCCACCGTCTTTTATTTTCTCCAAATGGAAAGGACAAAAGCACAGAAAAATTCCTTAAAGAGATTACTCTCGGTTCGGGAGGTAGGTTATAGAAAGGGAAGGTGTTAGCACCCTTTCTATCCATGGTTATCCATGGGCTCTTAGATACTTGCTCATTGTGTTTTCAAAATTGTTTGTTTGCTTTTCAATGTGGGTTTAAAAAGTTTCTTTGAAAAAAATTTCAGATCGACTCGTACGTCAGAGTGTTTGAAAAGTTTGCTTTGATAGCTTTTGAAAATGTGTCAGTGTGAAAAGTCTTTTTTGTTTGAAATTAGAGCAAGTATCCTTGAGAACCTACCTACCCTAAGGAATTCGTCTGTGTAAATGTCCTTAAAAGTAGTGCCATCCCACCATTGAGAGGTAGGTAGCACCACCGTTGGAGGTGTTCGGGTCAATTCGAGGTTCGGGACATGGTGATCACCAGAGCAATGGGAAGACACCTTAGAAGCTACCCTCATGCCAGGTTCCCGGATCATGAGGACTTACTAAGACATCCTCTACTCGACGATCATCTTTCGAGGCAAGGCAACAGTGAGGCGTACCCTAGGGGTGGTGTGTGCGAATCGTGTGTCATGTTTCAGTTATTTGTCTTGTCATGTTTATTTGTGATCTACGCTTGATTTTAATTAAGGCCATTCATTCTTGCATGCATATTTAACAGTTATAAAGTTTGCGAAAAATAAATCTAAGGCTATTACAAATGGCGCGGGTCCACATCGCCAAAATTAAACCGGACCCGATTTGACTGAAAAAATAAATAAAGCGATAAAATAAAAGTGCGAGAAGTAAAAATTACAATGCTTTGGGAGAGATACAAAATTATAATAAATGACATAAGATAAATGCGCAAATTAAATAATTAAAAACAATGGGCGTTGGACCCTTTTGCACAAAATTAAATTTAATGAGGAATTAGAATTAAAAATTAAATGTTTTTGGTATTTTTGTATTTTTTAAGATTTAAAAGAAAAAGAATTTATTGAAATTAAAAATAAAATGCTAAACCCTAGTTCTAATGTTTTTTAAATTTATTGTGAAAAAGATTGAATTTTTAACCTAATTTAAATCTAAGTTATTTATATACATTTAATTATAAAAAAATAAAATAAATAAATAAATAATATTGTGATAAAAGGAAAAAACTAAAAAGGAATGAAAATTGTTAATTAAACCTAATTCTAATTTTTATATTTAATATGAAAGGAATTAAAATTGCAAAATCCTAATTAAACTAAATTTATTTACATGCATTTATTCATAAAAATAATTAAAATAAATAAATATTATATTTTTTGGCCTTTTCTGTTTTTTATGTTTTGTAAAAAATAATTACTGAATTAAAACAACAAAATAAATAAAATAATAATTAAAAGGATATGAGGAAAATAAATGAAATTAGCAAACCAGGGTGGGGTGTAGTCCCAAAATTGGAGGTCAAATTAGTGGAATCTGGCCCAATAAGCATTGGTCCATTGACTTTTTGAATCCTGTATGATGCGTTGACTGGGAGTATAGCGTGTTCCTTGAACCTTGGCCTTTTGATTGGTGGAACTGGACGCGTGTCATGCTTGATCTTGAGGCGTATGGTGAACCCTAGCGTGGAGCCTGCATAGGAATTGTCATTGCAAAATAATAAATGGAATTACACAGACCTGGGACTTGAACCCAGGTCTTGGAGGTTGTATGCATCACGTGTTGCCAACTGAGCCAATTAATTTCAATTGATATATTATGGTTAATAAATAACAAAAATCAAGACCAACGCGTAGTGGAGGGAACGCGCGCAATTCAAAACTGGCGAATCACGCTTCGCCAACACATCATCTTCCCCATTGTTTCTGAAACATGAACTCAAAGGCTACGGTTTTTCATGCGTGGGTTTAGGCACCTTTAGAAGAAATAGCGAATAGCGCTATGTAGCTCATAAATTGTTCGCGAAGGTTGATTCATGTTCGTCTCAATGTACTGAATTCAATGGTCATGGTCTGAAGCTTTAATTTTTCTTCTTTGCAAAAACCCCAATTTTAAAACCTGCAAACCCTAATATCCAAACATGGCATAATCTCGTATGGTCAATAAAAACGCAATTAAAAGTAATGGTTAGCTTGGAAACTTCATTATGAGCGTGAATACATAAATAAAAATGCAAAAAGATGCTTGAATTATGCTATACGATTTCAAAAGTTTTGCTTTACAGTTTGAGTTCTTGATGCCAATTCCTGGAGCTTTTGTGGTTGATATTGATTGGAATACGATCAGTGAATCACAAGGAAGCTTTTGGGATGGAAATCAAGGCTTGAATCGACTCCTAACCTTGAAATCAGTTTTTGAGTTTCATAGCAATTTTCAAGTTTTGTGATGTCAATTGTTGCGCAGTTTTCCCTCTTTTTGGCTTAGGGTTGAGCTTCTGAATATGTATGGAGGCTTAGGTCAACAAAACTTGACAAAATCCAAGGCATTCATTGTTTGGATATTTGATTTTGCTAAGAATCTTTTCACATCTTTTTTCATGTTGTTTTTGCACAAATCATATCCCAATGCTCCAAATCTTTCCAAATTGGCTTAGGCACGAATTATTGAGCCTAAAATGTGTACAAAAAGATTCATTAGGTCAAGTTAGATATTTTCTATATATTTAAATAATTTAAATGAATTAATATTAATATAAATTCAAATAAATAATTAAAAAATGAGAAAATACTTCCCTTTGGGCCTAATGGTCGTGCATAGGCTTGGCATGAAGAAACTAGGAAGAAAAATGGGCCCATTAGCAATTTTAGACCATTTGAATCAAAGTTGACTTTTCAAAATTCCCAAAAATTTCCCAACTTCCACAAGGCCTAACTTGCTCAATTTTCAAGCTTTTCACATGTTCTTGGACATTTTGGAAAGGTATTTGAGTCCTCTAACCATTGCCTTTGGTCCCATGTCATTTTGATTTACCAATATCAAGTTATGGCCTT